CTCTGTACTCTTTCTAGAGTCTCAACATCTTTTTTACATCGTGGTGACCAAAACTGGATGCAGTATTCCAAGTGTGGCCTTACCAAGGCATTGTAAAGTGGTATTAACACTTCACGTGATCTTGATTCTATCCCTCTGTTAATGCAGCCTAGCACTGTGTTGGCTTTTTTGGCAGCTGCAGCACACGGCTGGCTCATATTTAAATGATTGTCCACTAGGACTCCAAGGTCCCTCTCACAGTTACTACTATTGAGCAAGGTACCCCCTATACTATACCTGTACATTTGTCCAGCTTTAGATTAAGATCAGTGTAAATTCGATTGTGACCAGCTATAACGATGGTCTTATTAAACCTTAGGGTAGGAGTTAATCATATAATGAAAAACAAGAGGTGGAATTAGTAAGAACAGTATTTATTCTCGATGCTTCTATTAACCCATCTTGTCTACCTGTTCCAGGTGGTTATTTTCTGCATATAAAGGGTGTGGTTTGCCTTATTTGTCGCTTCCTCCCAAGTAACTAACTAATACTCTGAAAGCCATATATAGGAACACTCCTTTAATTTAAGAATCAGGAGATGAGATGAATCCTTATGTAAGAACTGAACTTACAGAATCCTGTAGGCTTGTGTGGATTATAAAGTGAGCTAGATGTACCTAGAAAGAGGGGTGTTCTTTCCAGTTTTTGACAGCACATAAAAAGAGGCTTTTGCCTTATGGATCTTCTGGGTTTTTTTTGTTTCCAGTTTTAACGGATGACTGCATGGCAGCTGCAAGATTTACAGACGCAACACGTGTCGTTCATTTCAGCTTTCCCCCAACTCCGAGAATCTTTGGTGCCCGTCTACATGGCCTGTCTGTCAACTTCCAGAATCCAGTAAAGAAGGTCTGAGTAAATTCCTCATAAATTGTTTTGTCAGCATGAAATTACAGTTCTGCCATTTCAAACTGAAAAGCTCTCACTGGGTCTTTCCCTCTTTTCTCTCTTAACATACTTCAGTGGCCCTTGATCCTCTCGCTCTGGCAATTATTATTATTATTATTATTATTATTATTATTATTATTTGAATTTATATACCGCCCTATCTCCCTTACGGGACTCAGGGCGGTGAACAGGCGATAATAAAAACCACGATAAATATACACAAGTTTCTGTTCTAAAATCAAATTAAATAACAGGCCTGCTCTAAAAGTACCCCATACAAAAACCCCCACTAAAACATAATCAAACTACGCCAGGCCGGCCGCACGGAATAGATGGGCCTTCAGGGCTCGGCGAAAAAGGCGCAGGTCCGCAACTGTACGTAGGTCTCTACATACTCTACTTCTCATTAATCCCCCCCCCAAAAAAGGAGATTTTTAATTTATGCCTAGAATTTTCCGTCCAACTCACAATGTAATGATCTCTTCTTCTGTTCTTCCGACCTTTTTCTTCGGTCCGTGCCAAGAGTCCATCACTGGGAAAAGAACAGAGCAAAGCCAAATCCATCTTGCTGTTGACAGAGAGAAACGCCCGTCACGCAGTTGGAGTGTTGCATTATTTGAAGCGGGCAGAAGCCTTCATTCCCCCCGACTTGTACCACTTTACCAGGGGAGTCTTGGAAGCCGAAGAGGAGAAGAGAAGCGGGCAGCCAGTTTGTCATTCCATTAAGGCCTATGGAATATGCAAGTAAGGCCAGTTGTGTCTACGGAGACTCTCGGCCACCCAAGTCATGTTTGTCCCAAAGGTGCTTTTTCGAAAAGCAACCGAACGTTGTTTTTCCCTGAAGACACTTCGCTTCCCATCCAAGAAGCTTCTTCAGTTCAACTAAAGAAGCTTCTTTGGATGAGAAGCGAAACGTCTTCAAGGAAAAACAGTCCAGCTGCTTTTTGAAAAAAAAAAAAAAACACCTTTGGGCCAAGGCCATTAGTTTCAGCCGTTGTTTACCATGTTCTCCTGCTATAACAGCATAACTTAGCAAAACATAATAACAGGCAGTAATTGAATGGCAACAGTTTGGGAGAATTGTTCTGGCCGCTGGCCGCATTATATTATCCTTTTGATAATGTGAAACTCCTGACCCATTCAACTAACAGGAAGGAAGAATAAGAGTTGGCTTTTTACCAAAACAACTTGTTAAGGAATAATAGTAGTAGTAGTAGTAGTAGTAGTAGTAGTAGTAGTAGTAGTAGTAGTAAAGTTGGAAGGGACCTTGGAGGTCATCTAGTCCAACCCCCTGCTCAGGCAGGAAACCCTATACCATTTCAGACAAATGGCTGTCCAGTCTCTTCTTAAAAACCTCCAGTGTTGGAGCACTCACCGCTTCTGGAGGCAGGTTGTTCCACTGGTTAATTGTTCTCACTGTCAGGAAGTTTCTCCTTAGTTCTAGGTTGCTTCTCTCCTTGATGAGTTTCCATCCGTTGCTTCTTGTCCTGCCTTCAGGCGCTTTGGAGAATAGCTTGACTCCCTCTTCTTTGGGGCAGCCCCTGAGATACTGGAACACTGCTATCATGTCCCCCCTCGTCCTTCTCTTTGTTAAACTAGACATACCCAATTCCTGCAGCCGTTCCTTATATGCTTTAGCCTCCAGTCCCCTAATCATCTTTGTTGCTCTTCTCTGTACTCTTTCTAGAGTCTCAACATGGAGAAGAACAGCATCAAAGCATGGATTTGTCGAGGCAAAATTGTTCAGGAATGCAGGGCTCTGTGGCTCTCATTTGGGATTCGTAGAACCTTTTATTTTTATTCACCATAGCATTCTCTTGTGCTCCAGAGACAAGTTTGTAAATGTTTGTTTTGTGGACATTTCTGCCCCTGTGATTACCTAGATTACTTCTTCATAATGGCTTACTTTATTCTGTGGTTCCAAACAGCGCAACATTCTGGAATTGCTATCCTAATATTCTTGTGTTACTTAATTTAATTGTCTCCTTACGATCACACAGAAATAAAAAACGCTGTCCAGATCGCCATCGCATTAACCTTCAGACTGACGTGCCCTCAAAAGTAGCCGATGAAGCTCTGCAAGCAGGTGGAGTTATAACAGTGAGTCTGTAAAACACCTTCAGTTTCTAAATATTTAAAATAGGTGAGCAGGTCTGTGCAACTCTAAACCTGGGCAGGGTGGTCTTGATGAAACACCGCTCTGAATGTGATTGTGTGTTATAAGAATAAACCTATCCTTTCTGGAAGCTGGACTTGGTTGGGTTTCATGTCCCAGTAAGTAAATCATAAAACAGAGGTAACCTTAAACCAAAAGTTTAAGTGAAGCTGGCTTCCCCCTTGACTTTGCTTGTCACAAGGTCGCAAAAGGGGATTGCATAACCCCGGGACACTGCAACCGTCGTAAATATGAGTCAGTTGCCAAGTGTCTGAATGTAAATCACATGACCGTGGACATACCGCATGGGAAACGATAATAAGTCACTTTTTTCAGTGCCATTGTAACTTTGAACAGTCACTAAACAAACCCTTGTCAGTCAAGGACTACCTGAATTTCATGAGGTTGCTATTCCTCCCACAGCAAAAGAAAAAAGGGAAGAAAACCATGGCTACCAGGTGTGGATGTTTTCCTTCCACACAACCCAACAGAGATGGACGCAGAAACTTGTTGTCAGAGGGGAGGAGCATCCATGGCCCAGGGCAGTCACCCTGTGGATCAGAATGGGGAAGCTTGTTCCCCTTTCTCACAGAAAATACTTTCCCTCATACACCATGCCTCTCTCTGCAGCTGGATCTCACCCCAACTGCCCCGTGTCTTGCATTGTTTTAGAACAGTGGTGGCGAACCTATGGCACGGGTGCCAGAGGCGGCACTTGGAGCCCTCTCTGTGGGCACGCACGCCGTTGCCCCAGCCCCGCCTCCCCCCACAGCCCCCTCCTCCCCAGCAGCCCCCCCGGAGGAGAGCTGCCCCCAGGCAACAGGGATAAGACTCTGCCCTCGCAGTGCAGATGATGCTGTGGGGTACGGGCAGAGGGCATGGCTGCCATGGTGCTGCAGGGCTGCCTGGCGATCTGCTGCGGCCGGCCATGGAAGCGGTGCGTGGCCCTGCAGGTGGGTGGGGCAGGGGGCAGGTGGGGGCAGAGGGGCGGTTTTTGGGCACCCGATCTCTAAAAGGTTCACCATCGCTGTTTTAGAAGATCTCACAGAATTGCTTCAGCTTCCTATACTTTGGTGCTAGCTGTTCCCCTCCACACCCTCCCCCCCAAAAAAAGACCAAGCCTTGAACAAAAAAGAGAATGAGAAAGCAGTTAAAACAGATGCATTTTTAATGGGCATTTACAATAAATATAATTCCTGGGTAGAAGTCTTCCTTTGTTGATTTCCGGGAATTGGGCCGTGGTTTTTACACCCGTTTTCTATTTTCAGATACTGCCTCTTTTTATCGTGGATGCCACAAACTACTTTGGCCGCCTGGGAGGGAAACGGGGTCATTCCTACGCAGCTCTTGAAACGGAGATAAAGGATTACTATCAGGAATCTAGCAAGCGGACCTCGGTTGACAAAGTGGAGAAGCTGGCAATATACGGACTGCGGGAAGAGAAGTCTTTCCATAGGTAGGATATGTGGGCTGTTGTAGAAATAAATTAATTCAGTCGTCCCTGAGCATTGCAGTCATAAAGCACAGTGCCACGTGACCACATCACGTGACAGTAGCGGTCCCTGTTGCAATCATAACTCCAAGACCTGACGGTTATTTAGGGGTGCAGGAGTCCCAGCTAAGGAGTGGTGGTGGGGGTGTCGCAGGCTGCTGGAGGCCAGGGAAGAACCGATAACAGTTGCAGGAGGACTAGTAGAGGCTGCGTAAAGAAAATAGGAACCAGAGCAATTTGCAAACTTCCCTACCAGCTTCCCCATAGACTTTGCTTGTGGGAAGATGGCAGGCAAGGTTGCAAAAGGTGATCATGTGACCACAGCTCCCTGCAATGTCATAATTGCAAGCAGAGCGCCCAGATTCCAATCATAGGGCTGCTGCAGTGGCTGGAACTTCAACGACCGGGTGTACCTCCCATTTTTTTCCAGCACTACCATAATTTCCACAGCAACCACTAAATGAATGATACACTCGGAGGGCTCTCTGTGTAACAACTGGTATATTGATGGTCTAAATTAGAAGAAGAAGCAGACAATGCTGTTTCCCTAAATGTCACTGTGTCCATAGACTCACTTCCTGGTTCCTTGCCTAACTTCATTACTACCAGGGTAACGAAGGGACCATATGTAGGCCCTATGCAGAGATAGCCATCCTCCTTGTGGGCTTTAGGAAATCCTCACCCTTAAAGTTACTTCCCCAAACAGGTTTGTTTGAGCAGCAGAATCTTAAAGGGCCAAAGATGGTTGTAGGTTGTAAGCCTAGAGAATACGAACTGAATGCGCAGTTCATTTGTTGCCCTGAATTACACACTGTGGTAGGTTGTACAAGTACACAAAGGGCCAATTTGCATGTTTTAATAGTTGGAATTTCCTGGTATCCTTTTCCTGCGTTCTCTTAAAGGGTTCAAGTGCTAGACATTGGACAAAAAGAAGACTCCGGTGTGTTTTACAACGTTCACATCAAGTACATAGATGAAGGCAGAACTGGCTATGTTCAAAATTATAACTTGCTTAGTTTACCGGAACAGTTTCGAGCGTTGCCTCCTCAGGCTGTGGAGTTCATAGTTTGTAGGGTTAAACCCATCGATAATGAAGCAGAATGGAATCCAAAAGTAAGTTCTCAAAATTTGGAGTTCATTTGATTTGGTTTTTGGTCTTTGCAAACAACGAATACATTTGTCTTAATAAACCAAATATTATCTTTTCCAGATGTTCTGATGAACTATCATGCTAAATAATGCCTAAATGCCTGATTTTTAAACAAAAAACAACCAATATGCTTTTTCCCCCCCTGGTTTATTTTTAATTCTTTCATTGTGCAGAACAGTGACTGGGATATACTGAATCCTTATGTGTTAATTAACATATTTAATAGGCACCTGTTCGTATAATTGCTTGCCCTACGGCTACACTACACTACTTCAGTAAGCTTCTATTAAAAAGGATGCTACAGTCATTGAAAAGGAACGTGCCTCTTCTCTGAAGACTGTCTTTGTTTTTTGTTAGGTGTCTAGATACATTAATGACAAAATCAGAGGGAAACCACATGAAGCAAAAATAGCACTTATCCTGGGAAATACAATTTGGGTAGATCCAGTGGTATGTAATGCAGATTTTCAACTGTTCCCTATTTCCTTCCTTTGAAAATAATAATAACAATAATAATAGTCTTCAACTTATGACAACAATTGGAGCCAGAATTTCCATTGAGTGAGTCACAGCCTGATTTTACAATCTTTTTTTTTTGTTGCCATATTGAGGGAATCACTGCATTTGTTAAGTGAGTCACGTGGTTGTTAAGCAAATCCAGCTTGTCCCATTGACTTTGGTTGTTGGAAGCCAGCTGGGAAGGTCGCAAATGGTGATCACGTGACTCTGGAATACCGCAACTGTCGTAAATATGTGCTGGTTGCCAAGCACGTGCATTTTGATCACAATGACCATGGGGATGCTGCAATAATTATAAGTACAAGGACTGATTGTAAGTCACTTTCAGCAGTGCTGCTGTAACTTCAAACAGTCGCTTAATGGATGATTGTAAGTCAGCTACCTGATTTGAAAGTTTTCCCAGGTTTTGAAATTAGACTGAATAGGTAGTTTCTTCTGGGTAATAGATGTGATCAGTACCTTGACATTCTAATTTTCAACAGAATTTTGCTTTCTTTTTTTGTCATTTTCTTTTACATCTACTTGAAACTTTTTCGCCGAGCCCTGAAGGCCCATCTATTCCGTGCGGCCGGCCTGGCGTAGTTTGATTATGTTTCAGTGGGGGTTTTTTTTACGGGTGTGTTTTTAGAACAGGCCTGTTATTTAATTCGATTTTAAAACAAACTATTTATTTATTATCGTGGTTTTTAGTATCGCCTGTTCACCGCCCTGAGTCCCGCAAGGGAGATAGGGCGGTATATAAATTTAATAAATAAAATAATAATAAAATAAATAAATCTTAGAACCAAGAGAAGGACAGTAAGGTCTAGCTGGGTCTAGAAATGTCCAAAATTAAAAATGCAGCCTAGGTGGATGACCATCTTCCAACAGACCGGATAAAATAATAAAAGGATGAGATTGTGGTCATAAGTAGGAGCAAGAGCCATGCAGTAATATGGAGCAGCAAAGAATAAGTCTGCAAATAAATGTCACTTGTTTGTAATTCCAGATTCGAATCACTAAACTTCAAGACCTGAAAACTTCCATCAACGAATATAATATCCGCTCTGAAATCCTATCTACTGGATTGGGAGTAGACAATCCTGAGCATATACGGGAACTTGAGAAATTATTTAATGAGGCTGAAATACCCCATGAGAAAAAAGATAAGCCTGCATTGTAAGATATATTTTATGGATAATTACTGGCTGCATACACTGAAACTGGATGGTGGCTATTCAGAATCATGTTGAAATCATACTCATTAAAGAATTACATTAGTACTTAGTTTCATGCCCTATAATATTCCAGTGGCTGTGGGAGTTTGGAAATTCATGAGGTTAAGTTGGATATTTATAGCTCTGATTTATGTTGATCTGTCTCTGTTTCAGGAAATAAGTAGTCCCTTGAATGCCTGGCTGACATTAGGTTATTCCAGACACAAAGGAGTAAGGATATGGCACTCCCCCAGCTCTGCAAAGACAGCCATGGGTTCCCTACCTGCCACCCACCTTTGGTGGCAACACACCTTGGCCTAGCACAATAACAAGCACAGCCCTTAACGTGAAAAAAAATAAATATCAAAAGACATTTTTATTTCATACGAGATTAATAGGTCCAAGAACCCTGATAGCTTTAGAACTTTAGAAATGATAGCTTTAGACTTGAAAGCATCCTTTCTTCCTCTGTTTCAAAGACTTTAATTATTTACTCATAGGGAATCTTTTAATTAAGGTCCTTGCTTTGAAATGGCTTATGAACTCTCTCGGGGCCTTCTCCCCTGTGTTGCTCTTAGACTCTTTTTCATATCACTTCATCAAGAGGAGAGCAACACTTCTTTTGAGCACATAAAACAGAGTACAGTGAGACCAAGTCAAGGGAGATTGTGCAAGTGGTCACGAGACTCATGTGTCTTTTGTGCAAATGGTCACGAGACCTTCTGCTATGAATCATCCTGCTTCCCTTCTCGGAGCAGAGATGCTCCTTGGGTGGAGGATAGGAACCAACCTCCACCTTTCCACTTTCTTGCCAGAAAGCTCCACGCCTGGCTACATCTTCCACAGAAACCTAAACCTCACAATCCACTAGAGGGGGGCAAAGAACCAAGAATATAGCTCTTTGCTTTCCAACTTGGTAGAGAATGGCGTTCTTTTTCTAGCAAATTTTATTTTTTTGTCCTATTAGATACCAGCGTCTCCCAAGGTTTCTGCATTCTTTACAGAAACAAAAGAGGCATTGTTAAACCACCAATTGGTCTGACTGCATTTCTAAGTAGCTGTCTTATGGTTTGCCTCCTTGATGCCTCTGGAAAAACCTATCCCTGGTGCAAAGGTTTTCAAGAAGAGGGCATCTTGTATGCTTCCTTCCATAGACACTTGCTTCCCTGCCAGCAAACTCTTGCAGTCAGGCCACTTGAGAGCGTCTGCCTTCAAATATTGTATTAGTTTATCAAGATATAAAATACAGAAATACAAAGAAAAATAAAAATAAGGGGGAAATAAGGGTGGGAAAAGGGAAGAGAAAAAAGTGTGCAATAGAATAAGATAGTAACATAAAACCTCAGCTGTCTACTTTTATATAGAAGTATATACTAGCCACTTCTGTAACAACAAACCTATCTAGACAAAATCCAAGGCCATTTGAGAGCATCAAGGTTGCAATGTTGTTCTCCTATCTGCCAGCAACAAAGTAGAAGACGGGCTTCCTTGAGCTTTGGCATTAGCGCAAAAAATAAAATAAAATAAAAGGATCTGAGAGCTTTAAAATACATATTGTTTGAGGCTAAACCTGTTTTCCCTTGACTGAAAGCTCTGCTGATCCAACGTTTGGACCACGAAATTTGTTCCTGTAAGGTGTAGTTATGGATCTTGTCTCTCCATTCCAGAGTACCTCCCCCCACGGATGGAAGAAATGAGAAGGCCAAACCTGCTGAGCAGAAAGTGTCAGATCCTGCAACTCTTAGCTTGGAGACCTCAAACAAACAAGCCCTGCCCATTGTACAGAAATCGCCACAGAGCCAAGATACGATCGATGATGATTATTCTCAAGTATCTTTAGAAAACCATTGTAGTAAGTACAGCGCAGTAAATGAACGTGTGGGACGTAGTATCCATAGGAGGAATTTTGTTCCGAAAAACAGGAAAGATACAGAGTCTCCTGCTTCAGCAGGGGGTCAGACTAGAAGACCTCCAAGGTCTCTTCCACCCCTATGATTCTATGTTCTGTGAAAAATTCTGATCCTTAATGGTACGATTGCAAGGGACTAAGGAAAAAGAATGTGCAAACTTTGCTTGTTTCTCTTCCAATTTGGCATTTTGGAAACGTCTAGCGCCAATGCATAATATGTCAGAGAATTACTTTCTGAGAAATGCTGTTTGCTTTTCAGTCCTTGAATATACTTCAGCAATATTAGTGCTGATGATTGCCATTTGAAATCTATTGAGATGAGGACTGTTTTTGTTCTGTAGACATCTTTACCTTGAAACAACCTTTCTAATTAATTAAATGCCGTTGGGAACATTGCGTTCAGTTTACCCATTGAAATCTGGTAAAGATAGATGCCACGCGAATTTAACTTGTTTTGTTTCTTAATTTAGATGAAGCGGTGCAAAAGAAGAACACGGAAGTCGTTCCACAGACTTTGCCTAAACGGTATCAACCTTTATATGTGCCTTAGTTCTGCAGAGCCAGGGTGGAGAGGAATGTTTTTCTTGTTCTCTCCTTGTCTATCCCGGGGTTCAAAGGGCTGCTTTTAGAAGGTATCTGGAAAATATCCATTGGTGAAGTTTTAAAACTTCTCAGAGGAAGTCCAAAGTTAGGGTTGTTTGAGCAGTGGTGGAAAGTATCTTATTTGACACGCAAATCATGTACTAGTCACTAGTGGGACAACTAAAAAATGCTTTTTTAAAGGGTGAGGCAGCATCACAGCAAAATTATTTCCAAGAAAAGTTGTGGAAGAGTGAAAGGCAAGCTGACAAACACACACACACACACACATCCTGCAAATTCCCCAAAAGTGATTCCCTCTTTTCTTTTCTTTTCCTTCATGCATTCTGTATATTATTTCTTGTTTTTACTTATCACCAAAGCTGCACGGCTTTGGAATCAAATAATGTTTACTTTTCTACTTTTTTAAAAAAAAAATTAAATATTTTACTCTTCCAATTTCAATACATAATTATTCTTTCCTTAAATGTTTTTGCCCTACTTGGTGATACTGTATCTTTTTTTAAAGTATATTTGTTTTTAGTTTTATAATGTAAAGCTTGAACAGTTGCATCTATCTATGCAAAATGCAATTACATAACGTAGCTGGCAGGATTAAGCAATTCAACTTATTGGGGTCATGGCCAAGATCTCAGTCAGTGAATAAATATTCAACTTTTCAGTTGGATGCTTTGTTTTGCTGATTTGGGGATGGGTGAAATAAACAAATTTATTTAGATTATTCATGGAAGAATAATAAACACTGCTTATAAGCTAAGTTACTTCATGAGTACTGTATCTAGCTTCGTATATGAGCAGCATTCGTATTTTAAAAATCCACTTTAACCCACTGTTTTCACATTTCAGCTTCCATCCAACAATAAAATGGTTTGACAAGGAAGATGTTGTTGTTGTAAAGGTAAAATTGCAAAACATTAGGAATTATGACTGCAGGATTTTTGAACAGAGGATCACTTTCAGGTAGGTTGATTTGTATAGACCAGGGGTAGGCAACCTCGGCTCTTTTATGACTCATGGACTTCAACTCCCAGAATTCCTGAGTCAGCATAGCTGACTCAGGAATTCTGGGAGTTGAAGTCCATGAGTCATAAAAGAGCTGAGGTTGCCTACCCCTGGTATAGACCAAATCTTTTCCAAGTATGGTTTTACTGCTTTTTGACCAACAGATATTTTAACGTTTGTGCAGTGCTTTGGCAAACGGCAAATTTTATTTGGCCGATATGGAGCTGCAGAGAAGCATCCTCAGAGAAAAATCAACTTGTGTAGTTAAGGGCGATGAGCCCACCATTCTCCTTGCAAAAGTGAAGAAGGAACCTTGGTACAACTTGTTAAAACAGAAGGTGAGTTGTAAATAACAACAACAATAATAAAAAAAGATAGCTGCTAAAGCATTTGCATGATATAATGAGGCATTTAAAATATTTGTCAACAGAATCATCACGTATCTTATGACTTTGATTATTTGGATGATAATGAGGAAAGAGGCCCGTTCTGTGTAGGTAAGCAGCGCACTGTTTTATGTGCAGCATCTTCACCTCTAAAGCGATGGGAACTGTTCTGGGGAAGAAATGTATCCACATTGATATACCCCATTGGAAATGGGGTATACAGGTAGTCCTCAACGTAAGGCCACAATTGAGCCCAAAACATAAGAGCACAATTGAGCTACGCAAGACAGTTGTTGCGTGAATTGTGCCCCATTTTACAACCTTTTTGCCACCGTTGTTAAGTGGATTATTCCCGTTGTTAAGTGAATCTGGATTCCCTCATTGACTTCGCTTGTCAGAAGCCAGCTGGGAAGGTTAGACATGGTGATTACGTGACTTGGGACAGAGCAACTGTCATAGGTCCATGACAGTTGCCAAAGCACCCAAATCACGTGACTTATGGGGATGCTGTAAAGTTCGTAAATATGAGAACACCTCTTAAGTCTTTTTTTTCAGTGCCCTTGTAAGTTTGAACGATCACTAAACCAAAGGTTGAAAATGGAGAACGGCCTCTAATTTGATCTCTTCCATGACCTTGTGTACCTGGTCAACCAAAGGCAAACTGAGACATGGGCCAACTCATGCCTGCATAGTACCCAATGCAGGGATCTGTTTGTAGATTACACTATTTCATGGTAAAGCTAAAAGCTGGCTTATAAATGTATTCTTTAAAAGTCTGTTTTCATGCCTTTGTATAACAACAATGTGATTTTCTCTATCAGGATCAAGCCTTAAGAAAGAGTATCAGATTCCTATAGGAGTGTGTGAAGAGGAAGAGGAGGAGGAGGAATCTTCAAAAGACAGTGATTCAGAGAGTGATTTATCCTCTTGTTAATTATATTTTGGGCTTTAGTCTTTGATCCTCCACAAGTTTAAAGTATCTAAAATAGATAGTACAAAACCCTTTGCATGTGTATCGGGTGGCTTTTTCATAGTGATGCAATCTCAGCATTTTATTAAATTTTGATGACCCAGATGTTGAAAACAGGACTTCTGTGGGGTGCCACATTTGCTGTTTATTGACAGTTATAATTCTAAACATGCTCGTTGCAAATGAATCTTAACAAATTTGGGTGAAATTTAATTTGATACACGAATGGATAGTTACATCAAATTTAACGATTAGACTAGGACAGGTACACTATTGGAAATTCCTTTTAAGTTGCAGTTATATCAAAATACTTCACAAAGAAAGCATGTTTTTTAATTTTGCTTTTTTAAAAAAAAATACAATATAATCTGAGATATTTTTGTAATGCTATATGGTGCTAACGGGATAAGCTGAGCATTTGTTGTAAGCTGGCTCTTAAGGAAATTAAAATGCTGAGATAATTTATTCTTTGTGAGGGATAAAGCAGTAATATAACATTGCAAAAGAAAAACTTTTGGTTCTTTTTCATAATATTAAATGGGTGTGTATTTGTTTTGGAAAATGTTCAAATACTTGGTTTTGCTTTCAGGCATATAGCTTTGTTGTAACATTGCAATATAAAGCAGCTGTGTCAATCAAAACATCACATATTTCTTCCTCAAGCAGAAGAAAGTAAAAGTATATCACATAATTTCTTGGAATGTTAACATGGAAAATCTGAAAGGTCAATACAGAAAACCTGTAATTATAGACACAACTTATACAGAATACTAACTTGCAAAATGTTATTGACACAGAGGGCTCTGTTATATATGGTTGTGGGTTAAGGGCAAAGGTTTTTTTTATTGTAGTCAGGAATTCCTCACACTCACATTCATTATAAGGATGTTTCTCAACCCCAGCAAATTTAAGATGTCTGGACTTCAACTCCCAAAATTCCTCAGCCAGCAAAGTTATCGAGGTTTAGAAATTGTGTTAGAAATGTACAAGCCAGGTCTGAAAATCTACAGTTAACTGTACAATGCAGTTCCTCTAGTTCTATAGCTATGCGAAGTTGATCAAAGTAACAAAGGAAGTACAAGTCTACAAACAATCTTAAGTTTATAATGCTGCATTCAGATAAGTCAGATACTTGATCCTTCTCTGTGTTAATATTGGTCTTGTTAACCGTTAGTTGTCTTTCTGAGAAAAAGAAGTGTTCATTAAAATTTAAAATGGAATAACATCTGTTTTGTAACACCTTTTCACTGTTTGTGACTTGAAACTACTATAGAGTCAAAATTGTCCTAGAGCAGTGGTGGCGAACCTATGGCACACGTGCCAGAGGCGGCACTCGGCACCCTCTCTCTGGGCACATGCACCGTCGTTCCAGCCCTGCCTCCTCCCATGGCCCCCTCACCAGCAGCCCCCCCAGAGGAGAGTCGCCCTGGGCATGGCCCATGCAAAGCAGCGCAGCCAAGGACATGGTAGCCGGGCAGCGGGGACAAGACTGCCCTTGCGCCCCATCGCCCACAGATGATGCTGTGGGGCATGGGCGAAGGGCGTGGCCACCATGGTGCTGCCGGGCTGCCTGGGTGATCTGTGGCGGGCTGTGGAGGTAGTGGGTGGCCCAGTGGGTAGGGTGGAGCAGGGGTGGGGGTGGGGGCGGTTTTTGGGCACTCGGTCTCTAAAAGGTTCGCCATCACTGTCCTAGAGGCTAATATTGAAACAGCAATCTTTAGGGAACAATTCTGAAAGTTCTCACATTTTTATAAAAAGCCCCTGAATAATTTTCAAAAACTAATATTCAGTACTGGTAAAAAGTCTGTGGTCTCCCAACTATGATATGGTCCTGGGTTCTCCCATACTTGGTATTTCCTAAAAAGAAAACGATGCTGTCCTTCATATTTGGAGGAGTGGCATCCTAACCGATTTTAAGGCTTGCAGTAATAAATCTCACCAGTCTTTTAAAATGCTACAGACACCTTTGTTATCTTCCGATTGTACCTTGGCAATTAGATTTTGGGGCGCGATGCGGTTGTCCTCCTTGCTTCTTAAACATCCAACATTGTACGGTCCAGAAGGCTGTTAACACTCTGCATCAACCTCATAGTTAAAAGTTCCACAGGAGTGAAAACACAGACTCAAGAGGAGGAACAGTGTAGAAAATTCCTGTCTAGGCTGTGAGGATTAGACCTCATGCCAGGCCAATAAGCCCCCATTATCCCATCCACTGATCTTGCCAAATGCTTTAAGTCCAGAGAAAGCATTGCACTGTCTCACCTTCTCCTGAGGCCAAGGTCAGATTGGTTAACTTCCTCAGCTCTTAGAGGTAAACAGGCCATCTTTTTTGCGTCTCCCTGTCGTTTGGATATGGCTCTCTGGCTTGTCTAATGCAGGAGTTGACCTCTTCTGTGTTGGGTGATGGGTGGCTCAGACACACTGTCCTATGAGGTTGCCCAAAGGGTCATTCTCAGTTGTTAAATGCTTTTCATTTTGAATTTAGCAGTGGAAAGCCCTTCTTTCTTGATTTTTTTTTTCCCATGCTTGGCTATAAATCTTTAAATCACAATGGATGCAAAAAAAAAAATGTCCTCCTTCCTCGGTAAGTAAATATGAAAAAAATCTTTGTAAGATCTTCGCTGTCTCCCACATACTCTGTAAAGCACCGGCGCTAAATTTTGCTTGGCAAAATTGAGCTAGTTTGAGGATCTTGTTTCGGTTGGTTTCAGAAGGAAAAATCGGGTCTTTTTTTCATTCGCTAGCTTCTGGTGGAACAACTTCCAGCAACATCTGAAGATGCATGGTGATGGGCTCTGAAATAGCAGAGGTTATCAGAGTTACAGATATTCCATTACTTTAATATTTTCCCTTTTCTGGAGAAGTTTCAAATCGAGGCTGACTGCATGAGCCTGGTGGTGACCAAGCTAACAAGATCAATTTAGAGATCTCTTCACAAATCCTTGTGTCCTCAGCATTCTACATTAACAGTATATTGCTATGAAGTTAGCAGAGAGTAAATGCTGAGTTCAATTGAGCTCATCCTAAACTAAAACTCAATGTAATTTTCTTCCCAACTTCACTATCCATTGGTCCCAGAAATAGCAGAAAGTCAGTTCAGAATCATTGACCACTCACCCCATAAAACTACCCCATTATGTAAAAAGCATTTTCTTCCACTGAAGTTTAATCCCATGACGTGTTTTATAGTTTAGCAAAGCCTTTCAATTTAGCAAAATTAAGTCCCAACTTGAGCCATTTTAAAAGAATGAGATTAACTAACCAGCAAAAGTCTAAAGATATATCCTTGCCTAGTATTTGAGGGACAAGGATTCTTGATCTTTGATAACATGTGAAGGAACACTTTAGGAGGCTGTCGTTATCAAAACATCGGCATTATCAAAAAGATAACAAATTGGACTTTATCCTATCATATCTAACTTTGCAAATTCCATTCTGACAAGGCAAGCATTTAATATATACTTGGATACCCACAAGTGCCACCGGTTTAAAAATAAGGAAAGCCTTCAAAAATATTCTGAAGGAAGAAGTCAGAATCTCAAGATAATTTTTCCTATTCTAGGAAAGAGATTATAAAAGTGTTGAATTAAGTTTTCTACCATGCTTTTTCAAAAAAGATTTCTGTGTTTGTATCAGTAAAAAATGTACCAATAAAGGAGAATAGTTGTAGCTCAAGGTTGAAATGAGGAGTCTTTGGTGCTCTCTCAGCTTGGTTGTTTTCTTACAGATGGTTTGAAAACCAGACTAGGTAATATCAGTGTATAAAGGATGTTTCAGGGAAAGAAAATGAGCTGGCAATTAAATGTGAAATCCACTTTTATTTGGATTTCAGAACTTAGCAGACTTGCTAATGATTCTCCAGTGGCTTCCATTTGCAATAAAGTTCAGTGAGGCTATTTATAAAACCTCCATTCTTAGGAGGTTTTAATGTAGCTGATTTAACTTTCTTTGCTTTGCTGATGCTTTGCTCAATTCCATTCAACCCTATAACCTCTTTTAATGAACTGCATTCATTAAGGACTGCATTCATTCTCCTGCTTCTTTGGAGCAGGAAAATGGGCTAAACGGGTTTTTTTTTTTAGGGAAAACTCTCCCCTTTTAGGTGGAAATTCACTATCCACTATCCATGCGCTTACCTGAGATTTTTTGAGCCCAGCCAAACTTATAGTGGATGAAAAGAAAGTAAAAGATAAGTCCGCTAAGAATAAATAGGACACAGTACAAATATGCCAACTCAGGTTCACTTATAATAGGTGCCAAGACCAGAACGATGGCCACTAGCACCACAAAAATAGGGATGATGAGCGGTATCTGCAGGGAGAGAGCAAACATGCCATTAGATAATTGGATGTAACTGGCAAAGCTAAATAACCCTCTCAGTTCTAGCTGAAGATACCGAAGATGGTCTGTTTACACCAGCGGCTCCAAACCTTTTCTAGATCCCGCACACCTAGAACGCTTCTGATATATTCTCGCACCCCTTACAAAAGTTCGAAATAATGGCAATGAACTATGCATATACGTTATAATTTGGAAAACCCAAGTTTTCTCACCCCCTGGAATATCGTCGAGCACCCCTGGTTGGGAACCCCAGGTTTACACCATCAACACGTGGCAATTTGTTCCATTTGAACTTAATTTGTCCAGGCAACCCATATCTTCCAGCTGCCTGATCCTATCTGCGTTTAGCTTGGCAATGTTTTGCTTTTAGTCAAAACTGGTAGCTCCAGTTATCAATTGCAGAGGGCCTGATCGACTTCACTTTCAGAATTGGGAGAAGTTCTTGGGTTCTCCCAATTCTGAAAGTGAAGTCGATCAGGCCCTCTGATCGACTTTACTTTCAGAATTGGGGGAACCCAAGAATTTCTCTCTGCATTAGTAAACTTCTCATATGAAGAAGGGAGCATAGGAGTCAACTCCAACCCCATATACATTCCTTAGTTAGAATATTGAGAAAATATCCAGTGCCCATCAGCTCAGATTCCCAACAAGGATGTTGGAAGCCAACAATGCTTAAAGAGACTAGTTTATAAATTTCCAATAAGCTATCACTGTCAAGGAGAAACAAATCAGATAGCTGGCTTAATTGTAAAAAGGCACAATACATTCAACCTAATACTTCTAATATTGCCTCTCTGCTTACTCTGGCTAGCCATAGTATTTTTTTACGGCTCAGGGGCATGTGTAAGCCTATTCCAGGTATTCATTTGCAGGGCACACAGCTAGAAAATTTGCCCAGGTATTTCTTTGTTGACGGTCATATTTATCCCATGTTTCAAATTTCCACTTTCAGCAAAGTTATCAGGAAAAATAATTTTTCCCCTGGTCAGAAACATATGTTGAAGTGTTGGAACTGCACTTGATTAGCAAAAGGGATGCTTTTGGTGGGCAGTTGAGATCAGAATAATAATAGAATAACAGAGTTGGAAGGGACCTTAAAGGCCTTCTAGTCCAACCACCTACTCAAGCAGGAAACTCTATACCATTCCACACAAGTGGCTTTCCAGTCTCTTCTTAAAAGCCTCCAATGATGGAGCACCCATAACTTCTGAAGGCAAGCCATTCCATTGATTAATTGTTCTAATTGTCAGGAAATTTCTCCTCAGTTCTAGGTTGCTTCTCTCCTTGATTAGTTTCCATCCATTGTTTCATTTTTTGCCTTCTGGGGCGTTGGAGAATAGGTTGACCCCTACTTCTTTGTGGCAGCCCCTGAAATATTGGAACCGTAAAATATCAAAAGAACGAGCAAGCGAGCGCTTGTGAAGCCACATCGCCAGTTCTCGAAAGCTGAAAAATGCCTGTATGATTTTTCTCAGTGCTCTGCTGATAAGCTAGGTTGAAAAGCTTATGATCCTCCAGATATTGCTGAATGACAGCTTTCAGGATCCCTTCCTGTTGGTCCCAGGTGGTAAGGAAATTGTAACCCAATAACATTTAGGGTCAAATTCCCCATCTCTGCTCGCACTAGGAGGCAAGAAATGGCTGCCCAATGAAACACTTCCTCCTTAATTCTAGGATGATACTTTCCTGGGTAGATACTTACTCTGATAGGCCTTTTCAGTTCTTTTCTTGTAAAGCGCATAATAATCAGTCCCAATACAGTGAGGCCATAGAAGAGCCAGACTGCAAAACTGAAGTAGTTAATGAGGGTGTTGATGTCTCCTGGGATGACGTAAAAAAATGCTATTATACCCTGAGAATAGAAGAAAACAAAATGGCGTGTTACAGGAAGGAGTTGTCAGTTTTGCCCCGTTTTACGACTTTTCTCATCACACTTGTTTAGTGAATCGTTGCAGTTCTTAAATTAGTAGCACCGTTGTTAAGCGAATCTGGTTTCCCCCTTGACTTTGCTTGTCAGAAGTCGCAAAAGGGGATCACATGACTCCCGGGACGCTGCAACCGTCATAAATGCGAGTCAGTTGTCAAGCATCCAAATGTGAATCGCGTGACCATGGGGATGCTGTAATGGTCATAAGTGTAAAACGGTCATAAGTCACTTTTTTCGGTGCCTTTTTTAGTTTGAACGGTCACTAAATGAACTATTGTAACTTGAGAACTGCCTGTATATGATTTTCAAGAAAACATCAGCTGTAACTGATACCATTCAGTTATTAAAGATGAAGATTCCCTAGCCCAGTGATGGCGAACTTATGGCACGGGTGCCAGAGGCAGCACTCAGAGCCCTCTCTGTGGGCACACGCGCCGTCGTCCCAGTCCTAGGCCTTCAGCTGGGTTTTATAAAACCTTTTCGCTTTAGGCCTCTGGCCGCCGTGTGCAAAAAAAAAAAGGTTCAATCAATCAGTCAATTTCAACTTCTCGCGGGGAAAAAAAAGATCTTGCAAAGTTGGAATTGATTGATTGAACTTTTTAGTCCCACCCAGTCTGCCGTTACCACCGCAGCCACGCCCACCCAATGGGCCACACCCACCCGGCACNCGACGATGCATAAGTGGGTTTTGGGTTGCAGTTTGGGCACTCGGTCTCTAAAAGGTTCGCCATCACTGCCCTAACTGATTTCCAACATGCAGCTTTTTCTTAATACAAGATCACTAGAGAAACCAATAGAAGAATAAGAATTAATATAAATAAGAAATACTGCGAGATTTCAAGGATCCTCTAAAAACATTTGTCTGAAATGGTATAGACTAGAGTTTAAATGGTTTAGATGAAGACCTCCAACGTCCCTTCCAACTCTTGTTCTGTTATTCTACTAAAATTAAATTATAGAGCTAAATTTTATAGATTTTTGTTTGAAGCTGGAAATTCTTATTTTGCTATTTGAGTTGTTATACTTACATAAAATATAACAGAAGGTGCCGGCGTTAAACGTTTAACACTGATGTAAGATAGAATCTTTAACATGTGTCCTTCCCGCCCTGCTACATAAGCAAGCCTAGAAAAGCAAAACATGATGTTATCTAATTTGATAATGAAACGTCTGCAAGAAACCAACCAAGCGCAGATACAGGTGATCCTCGGGTTACAATCACAAAATTTATGTCGCTAAGTGAAACGTTTGTTAAGTGAGTTTGCCCCATTTTACGACTTCCCTTGCCACAGTTGTTAAGTGAAAGATTGCATCTGTTAAGTTAATAACAAGAAATAGAAACAGAAATTTTTTTTAAATCATCCTTTTCTCATCACAGGATAGTTGCCTCGGATAAACAGGTTTATAGTTTATATCAGGCAGCAGCAGAAGCAAAGTTTTATTTCGGAGGTAATGCTGGTATCGAAGGGGACATTTTAAAAACTGATAAAACCTAGCATTGCATATGTAAATTATTAATAAACTGGAACAAAAATGAGCAAGGAGAAATGCTAGTTTTGTTCAAGACTGAATAATAAATGATAGCCAGCCCCAAAGGGAAAAAATCCTGGGTCTACTCTAAAACATCAGTGGCTTTTCCCAGTTATTGGTTTTCTCCATCCCTGAAACAGCAGCCCTTTTGTTACACCTTTGCAGTGAGGCTAGTAACATTGCTGCCAGTACCAAAAGTAGAATTTTTTTTACACATACTGCAGGGATTAACTAGTAACACGGTTGTTAAGTGAATCTGGCTTTCCCATTGACTTTGAAGGTCGCAAAACAGGATCACGTGACCCCGGGGATACTGCAACCATTATAAATATGAGTCAGTTGCCAAGGGTCTGAAGTTTGATCTTGTGACCATGCAGGGTGCTGCAACGGTCGTAAGTGTGAAAAAGAGCCATAAGTCTCTTTTTTCAGTGCCGTTGCAACTTTGAACGGTCACTAAATGAACTGTTGAAAGTCGAAGACAGCCTGTATTTTGGACAAAAGGCTATTCAGTTGCCTCAAAGATGAATCGGTTATAATGTCAACAGTTTTGTACAAAAAAAAAAAAACCCACAAAGGCTTTGGGGCAGTGTTGCTTGACACAGAAAAGTAAGAAAAGCTCGCCCGAGCTGAACAAAATGTTCTCTTCTATATATCTCTCCATGCTCAGAAAGAACAAAAAACAGTCAGTGCAGCATTTTGAAACACACGGCGGATGCTTGGATTTTTCATGGTATGCAACATTAAGATTTGGAGTCAGGAAAAGAAAAACGGCATTTAGTTGATCAAAGCACTTGACAGTGTCAAGATATGGAATGCATTCCGCCTCTCCAATGTGTTAAAGACCATTTTTTATTTGATTTGATTCCTTCAAGTCAATGTGGACTCTTGACAACTGTCTGGATAAGTCCCTGCAGTTTTCTTGGCAAGATTTTGAAGGATTTTTTTTTTTTTTTTTTGCCGCTGCTTCCTTTTTAGGGCTGAAAGAAAATGTCTGTCCCAAGGTCACTCAGCTGACTTTCTGCCCAAGGTGGGACTATAACTCAACATCTTTTGGTTTGTAGCCTGGTGTTTTAACCATTACACCCAACTGGGTCTCCCTCTAGACTATGCTATAATAAATGAGAGTGAAAAAAGTCATATTTAAGCTTCTTTCACTGATATTCCCTCCCTGAATTTTCCCCTAGGAATCGAACAAAACATAAAAGACTATATATATATATATATATATATTTTCAGTGATCCTAATGTACCACATCTCTTTTACCAGGAGAATTGGAGAGGTTTGAACTGATGTTGCAAAAATCCTCCTCTGGACCATTAAATTTGCACAATTCTTTAAGAAAATGCTGCAATAGCAATTTCTGTGTCTTAAAAAACGATAGCAAGAATTAAAGAAGACACCTCAGAAGCACAGAACCGCTCCATTGGGAAACAAGAACTGCTAATTAACCATGAAATTTGTCTGTAGCTTTGCTGCCTGACACCCCACCCCCTCAAAATTCTCTCCTGACTTGCTACAGAAAAATCACCAAAGATGCCATTTTCCATCCTGATGAGATTTCAGTGTCGGTCTGATAGAAAATAGTTCTTGTGTCTTGTTTGGATCAGGGCTGCAGAGTTTTAAAAAGCAGCACTGATGCATGAAATATATCCAGACTGGAGAAAAAGCCAGGAATATCTCAAATTCAACCTCTTTAGATGTTACCTTGTAAATTACAGCTTTTCATCTTTTCAGAGGCCTCACTTGATGACAGAGTGAATTAGCTTGTGCAGACTGTTTTGACACCATATTTAGTGCCTTTAAAGCAATAGCATGTATTTCTAGGCAAATAGTAAGGGGATGTTTATTTGTCATGAAAGATACAGCAACTAGACTCTTAAAACATCCTACCAGACTGTTCTGAGGTTTACCTGCCAGATGTGAAGCAAGTCCCATTAGCTGCCCCGAGGGCTGAAAATGCCACAAAGAGAGGAACAATCCAAGAAGCGGGGTAAAGGACCCGGTCCCCAAACGTCTGCGGAGATGGAAGGAAAAAAACACACACCTCCTTTTAAAACAAGAAGCTCACAAAGCTGGCTGCAGAAAAAAAGGGATACCATAAATGCACGCGTCAATCTGTATAATCCTGTGAACAAGTCACCTTTTCTAGGGCTGTTGTAACTTTGAATGGTCACTAAATGAACTGTTGTAAATCGAGGACTATCTGTACTAAAGCATTACCCCCAGACAGCCACTTCATAATCATCTGCTGGAGATGTTCTCCAGATGATCTGGAGGACCAAACATATCCAAGCATAGCCCTTGGATATAAATTATATAGTGAGTTGGATCAAATTTGTCCACCCAAAAGATTAATTTTTGGGAGAATTCGCACAGTTCAGTTTAAATGTGTGGCCATTTTGTGTCTCCCCCCCTCCCCTTTGAAAAGAATCACGGCTACACAACAGATAGCTACGAAGACGACAAATTTGTGTCCAAGCAATTCCGTATGATACGCACCACTGCCACCGCTTGAGACTGTAACAGTTCTGTGGCTGTCATGACGGTGAAATAAGAAACATTGATCAAAACATAACACACCGCGACCAGAGGGATTCCAATTATTATAGACAGTGGTAGATTTCTAAACAATGTGAAAATATACGGCATTAATACATATGTATATCCCCACATATTTGCAGCTGAACAAACAATATTTATAAAGAAAAGGAACTTGGTTTATAGATAATGTTCTGCACTGCTCAGTGATTTTGATAAAGTTTGTCCTTAGAGGATGCTCAAATATTGCTATTTTAGAAAAGGTGTTTCTATTTCATGTTTTCACACCCTCAAAGGTATTGATTGTTGATTATCCAAATATACCATCTTCCTGCTTAGGTTTTTCTGATCTTTGTGGGTTGCGTTATTAATCCATTTATTAATTAATTTTCATTAAAAGTAATTCCAAAGCAGGAAATTGGGTTTACCCAATTCAAAAGATACATCAAGCCCCTGGAGGCAGTCCTCAGATCCTTGCAGATAGCAGTAGCAACAGCAATAGCACTTACCGTATATATCACTTCACAGTGCTTTATAGCACTCTCTAAGTCTAACCAGTTTACAGTGTTAGCACATTGCCGCCCCCAACAATCTGGGTCCTCATTTTACTAACCTCGGAAGGATGGAAGGCTGAGTCAACCTTGAGCCATTCAGGATCGAACTCCAGACTGTGGGCAGAGTTTGCCTGCAATACTAAATTCTAACCATTGCTCTTTGATTCAGAGTATGCAGATTTATTGTAATGATAAAGAGGTTGGACCACAGAATTGTGACACAGGCTATGCGGCCCGCATTGTATTTATTTATTTCTTCAAAATTTATAGCTGCCCTA